GCCGACAAGCACAACGGCTTCAACGCCCAAGTCAAGAGGTCGGGCCACGCCGTGCACCCCGCCGGCCATCACGGCGGCTACGGCGGAGCCGGGCTGGGCGCAGGTGCCGGCGGCCTGGGCGGCGGCCTGGGCGGCGGCCTGCGCGGCGGACTGGACGGTGGCTTGGGCGGCAGCCTGGACGGCGGCCTGCGCGGCGGCCTGGGCGGCGGCCTGGTTGGCGGACTGGGCGGCGGCTTGGGCGGCGGCCTGGGTGGCAGCCTGGACGGCGGCCTGCGCGGCGGCCTGGGCGGCGGCCTGGATGGCGGCTTGGGCGGCGCGCGCGCTGGTGCTGGCGCCGGGCAGGGAGGCGGCTTTGGAGGAGTCCTGGGCGGAGAATTCGGCTTCTGAGGACTCTTCATGGAATGGGACGTGTCTGAGGGACTTCTGATCTTGCCATTTGTTTAATTTCATTTCGAGTTCACTTAAATTGTCCATGTTTTGGGTCTATTTTTTACTTTTATACCAAATGTATTATTGTTACAAATATAAAACATATTTGCCAACTTTCCTTTTGTCATGTATCGTATTGGAAGTACAAGATCCTAATCCTCATTTCCTTGTGCAAGAACATTGCATGTACTTCCTGTTGACTTGAACGTGAGGGTCAGATTGTCGTCCCATTTATTTGGTTAATCATATTCGTCAGGTCATCGTTATTTGGCTAACTCGCATATTAGAAATTTTAGGCAATTCATTCAGAAATTCATTCAATGTTTGGTGAAACATAGTCATCATGACTTTGTTATTTGACTCCTATTTCCTATTTTCTGTTTGATTAACAGAAAAATTATGTAGAATATACAAACCATTTTGATTGTTTTCAAAAAACTGTATTGTTTCAATACAATCAAAATGGTTTAAAAATTGTATAGAATTTTCGAATTTTATTAAATGGGAGATGTTTGTCAAATAACAAAGACCTGATAAATATGATTCACCAAACATTGAATGAATTTATGAATGAATTGCCTAAATTTCTAATATGCGAATTAGTTATTCTAGTGAACACATTTCATGGGACATATTGATTGCAATAAATTTCAAAATATTAGAATGTGAAGAATATAACCTAATGAGAAGAATTGACAATCCAATTTCCCTCTTATTTGGAACGGATTTATTCTCAATTTAAGTAGAACCAATGTCTGATATTTTCTTTTGGTAGCATCCGGACGAATCTTTAGCATCTCTTTATTGAAGTTTTATTGTAAACAAACTATGAAAGCCATGTAATGTGGTAGAAGGATCCTATGAGTGAACCTGAGGGAATCTAGGAATGCAAAGAGAAACCTAAGTATTTTATGTTGGAAAACAAGTGTTTTCAAACGACTTTGATGATGATATTTTCAGTACTGCTGATTTACAAATTATGTTAGTTAAGATTGTACTATAATTAATACGTGTTCACGAGTATCTCGACAAATAAACGTTTATTGTTTTCATGAACTTGATGGGCAATCCTTCTGTCATTATTTGTTGCATTTATATCGTTTTCATAATAAATAAGGGTAGAAATGCTTTAAAACGTAAGACGCGTGTAATACAAGAAAAACATTACACATGCAGTTGCATTACATGCAGACATTTCCGCATTTCACGTTATTCTCTCTCTAACAGGAACGTTTTGCGGTCATCTATTTCCTTGAACTCACCCTGCCATATTTACTCGTCAACGTTTGGCTTCTTAGTCATCATTCCAATCTTCAATGCTCAGTACCACGAACGATGAGGAAGTTCTTCTCATGTAGAATGTCATGACAAAATACCAAACAATTTTTTAAAAATATTTCACAATTTTTCTAAAAATACCTTTACATAAATGACTAAGGAAATGTTAAAAAAATGACATGTTTTTGGCTCAATAACTTCTCGACTATGTGTTTTTTTAGAAACATTTTATATCCATTTATATCTGAATAGATTCATAAAAAATGACAGATGTTTTCGGCTTAATAACTTCTTGACTAAGTACTTTTTAGAAATATTTTATATCCATTTACATCTGGAAAGGTTCAGCAAATACTTTAGTTGACGGATAACGTCAAAAGAAAAGTTGACTTAGTTTTCCTTGGAATCTTCAATTGCTTTTTAATGCATTTTTAAACTATTTCAAATAAAATAAATGAAATGAGTTTCTTACAGGTATCATTTTATGCAAGCATTTTTGCCTCCCTGATTTTCAAGCGGTATTTTAAGAAAAGTGACCAATATGTGAGGGAGAAGAGGAGATTGAGAAATGGGCTTTGCGCCGTTTCTCCTGGCCGGGGAAAGGGGCGCGGCGGCCGCGTGCAGGGAGAAAGGCGATGGCGCAGCGAGGGCGCAGCGAGGGCGGGGGTTCCCGGAACGGGGTCGCACCTCGACCTTCCAGGAACTGCCCCCCCCCCCAACGCCCGCCTCCATCGTTTCACCGGACGACCAGACCGGAAGCCAGGTCTCGACATTGTCGGATTTTCGACACTAGCTGCGTAGCTGTGTTGCAATCACATGCTGTCTGGAGAATTCTAGCTGCTGGCTGCTCGGATCAATGGTTTTCCGAGTATCAAGGGAATGAAAAGCATTGCCCTAATAAAGGAGCCACGGGCTGAGCCCGATCTTTCCTTCCTCTTTGTTACCATCCCCCCCTCCCCTTCCACGCACACACATGCATGCAATACACTACCATGCGTTGGGAGACCTTCGGGGGCTTGGAGCTTGTCCCGACTGGAGAGGGAAATATCCCACAATGAAGATCGGCGCCGGATCTCGTTATTCAGTGGGGGAACGTCCGGGATAAAGATTGACTACGCTAACGGGACTAATGGCGTATGTGTTGAGGAAACATCAATCCCGTTCCCAGCCCTCGCCGCCGCCCCCACCCCGACCTCGACGCGCGCGCCCGGGAGGGAGGCTTGTGGACGCGCGGGCATAAAAGGGCTGCGCATCATCCGGAACGGACAGCGTTGCCTTCCGAGGGTCGTGAAGGCGGTATGGCTATGAAGTTCCCAGTGGTGAGTACTCGAATTGCACTTTTCAATGTTTGAAACGCGGGAAGTAAATACTCGAATATTGGCGTTTATAGTGAAATGAACAAGTGAAAATTATAGTGAACTAGAATACGTGATTTAGGAGAAGGAAGACTATTCATTGGAAATGAAAAAAAAAATCGGTATTTTCCCGCTACTTTGTACGTTAAAAGAGGAGTTGATGAATGATTTCTATAAATTGAATAATATAGTTGAAATCGAATTTTCGATGATAAAGAAGGGATGATTACGATTAACCTGTTACGAAATATTCCAGAAATTTGGTCAAATACTTCAGACTATTTTCATTTTCCCTTGTGTTAACCTGTTTAATAGTTATTTATTTTTTATTTCTATTTATTGCAACGTTGATTACATGTTTCAGTTATTACAATATCTTTGTCACGTGCATTTGTGACTTAGGAACCAACTTATAACTAGATTCATGCAGCTAATACATTAGTTGAGGATACCTATGAGGCACCTCTGTTTATTACATTTCAGAGAACAAGTTAAGAAACATATAGAATGCCTACTTATTTTTGATTCTCGTGATGTGGGTCGGTTTTCTGCACAGCGTGAATTCGTATATAGATGGTATTTGCTTGAGAAGTTAGTGGAATGTGATGTGATGGTCTAATCGCCGTGGATTGAAGTCTTTATGTAGTTGATTGTTGTAAACATTTGTTATTGTCCTTAGGTATTGATTTTAAATGATTTGTCTTTTTTAATGTTAGTTTTGAATGTATTTAATCATACTGGACAAGGGTACAGATACAGACTTATTATATTTTTGTATAAAATCACATCTGTGTTGTACAACTGATGACTATTCCTGTTTATAAGAGGTTTGAGTTGATGTAATTTATTTTTGGCTTGGTTAATTTTGATGCCTGTATGTTGTTAAAGCGCGTGCCAATGTTTAAATCCCAGGTACCTTATTGCTTTTTTGGCATTATTTAAGATTAAGGGGGAGGGGGCGTATGCAGTCTGAGAGTAAAGATTTTTGATGCAGTTTTTGTTGGATTCAGGAAAATTTTAGATTTGCAAATCCAGCTTTCGATTTGGTGTAGGTATAGTTGAATTCTCATTTTATGCCTGTGAATGCAATTCCGGAAGAGAAAATGGCTGTACCGTCTGCAAATTGTACAATATGAATTCCGTTTTGTTTGGGGATATCGGCTACGAAGAGGTTGAAGAGAGTGTGTGAAATCCTTGGATAAACCTGCCATTATTAATTTTGGATTGGATTGATGATTGTTTACTGTAAATGAAAAGTTTGGTTTTTTAGGAAGTTTTTTATTATTTTGGCAATGTAGTGAGAGGTTGCAGCTTTTCTGACTTTGTAATTTAATGCTTTGTGCCAGACTCTATCGAATGCTTGGGCTATATCTATGAATAAGGCTAGTTCATGATGTTTTTTTCTGAAATGAGTACATGTGTTCCGTTCGTCCGAGATTTGTTTCATGAAACCGAATTGTTCTTTAGATATTGCTTTGATGCTTAATCAGTGTTTTAATATTTTTTTTCAAGTATTTTTGATAGGGTGAACAGTAAACTTATTGGTCTGTAACTATTGACGATTGTTGTGTTTTTGCTAGGTTTGGGTACTGGAAAAACTATTGCGTGTTTCCATGAATGCGGCTTATTCTCAGATAGACATTATATATGTTAGAAATGATATTGCCTTTGAGGGAAAATTTTTTATTCTTATGTTGTTTATGTTGTCATGCCCGGGAGATTTTCAGTTTTGTTAGGAAAGTTTTTGTTATACTTTTGATTTCACTTGATGAAGGGTAGAATTTTATTTGATGGGGTCCGTATTGGGGTTGCGCTATAGATTTAAAAATTGTAGTGCGTTCTAGGTGGTTTTGTGTCGTGTTGTGTTGGTCGTGAATGTGGACTCGAAGAATAAAACTATCTCTTCGGCTTTTTCTATTGCTCTCCAGATATCGTGTTGAGAGGTGGTATTATTGTTTTTTGTTTTAGTATACTTTTGTGAACTGCCATATCGAATTATTTTGGGTATTAAGAGATTGGATTTTACTTGCGTATTGGCGATCATTAAAAGTTTTTATTAGTCTTTTGACTACATTAGATTAAGTTCTATTTTTAAATCAGAATTTTTAGTACTACCCTATGGTCCTCGCGTTTTGTTTTAGATTATTATTGCATTTAGAATTTGAGGGGGTAATGTGTTTCGATTATCATTTTTTGGATGTGTGTGTGATTAATTTAAGTGGATGACGTATATTAGTGTGATGAGTGCTGAAACTGCCTTCTCTATTTCTAAAGGATGGTTTAAAATTTTATATTTAGGAATTTCATTATTTAATTGTCTCAGAAACTTATGCCAGTTTACCTTGAGGGTATTTTATTTAGGCGGAGGGGAGTGGGGGTGGCAATTGAGTTGTAATTAATACGGATATATGATCTTAGTAAAGTTCAAAAATTGGGGTTGGAAAACAAATTATGTTTGTGTTGGTAATTTCGATGCCGAGAATGTCTGGACTTCTTAGTCGATCATATGAGTAGTTCGGTTTTATACGGGTAAGTTGGTTCTGCTGATGCAATTATTTTTGTTGGGCTGAATTTTTTCACGTATTTTGCCATCTTGATTATTTGAATGACAACTCCATTGGGTATTTTTTGTGTTTAGATCGCCGAGAAGAATAGTATTAATATGGGGTTGGAACATGTTTTAAATGCTTGCTGTGACTATTTTGGCAGAAGGTGGTTTATATGCTGCCATTGCTTTCCAATATTGGCCATTTATTTTTATTCTGATTGCAATAGTTTTTATGCCTGGAGTATCAGAGATGTGTGTTTCATGGTTTTCGATAATTGATTTTATGGCTATTAACACTCCACCTCCGTTATTGTCATTTCTATCTGTTCTGTTGTTGGTGTAGACTGGAATATACAATTTAGTTTTATCATTTAAGTGTGGTTTGGTTACGAATGCGATATCGACTTGTTGTGAATGTAGAAGGTTAATTAGTTGTTTTTTATTTGTGATGTCATTCGCGTTCCAATTTATGAAAGTGAAGTTATTATGAAGATGGACTGTCATAACTGTTATTTAAATACGATGTTACTTAATTTTGAATTGTTGTAATGATAGTTAGGATTAATGACTTGATGACATTTATGATACATGATGTTATCGAGTTGATTATTGTGTTTAGGAAGGGGTTGTTTGATTGGGAGGGGCATGAATTTCTATTAGGCTGTGAGAAGATTAAATTTCGGACATTGCTCTGACTTGGAGGTTGGGCATTGTTTTGGGGGTAAAATTCTGACGAGGTTGAGTGGTTGTCAGGTATGGTAGTTGTTGAGTTATAGGGAGGAGGGGGGTGTTTTCTTGGTTGCTGGTATATTTGTTTCTACTATTTACTTTATTCGTATTTCTTTCATACATAGCGCTATTGTATGAACAGTTTGAATCTCTAACGTCTGCTTGGTGCTCTCCTTTGCGATCACCAAACGTAAGGTTTTGAATTTTTATTTTAGTAAGAAATTGTATAGTGATTTCCTCCATAATACGCACACTTTATTACATGATTATAATTACTTTCTGTGGGTCGATAGTCAATGACACTTAATGAGGTTGGTGTCTTTGACACTTAATGAGGCTGGAAGGTCTTCATCTCCTTTCTGTTTGTACTTTATAGTTACATATTTCGTTTATTGATAATATAGCCTCTAAATGTTCATTCCCGCGGAATTCTGCAGTAACATCTGGTATGGGTTTATTATTTTAAGTAGTCTTGTTACTTTAATAATTGACGGATACCGTTGTTTCAAGTCTTGTAATATTTCAGAATCAGAAATGGTTTGGCTTGTGTATTTAAAAAACACCGAGTACTCATTGTTGGCCGGGTCTTTGTACGTGTGAAAACTTCTCTGGGTTAATTAAGTACTTCTACATGTTTCTAAAGTCTGTGATAGATTTAGCACTAATTTTGACTTTCTGATTTATGAAGTCTGCTATGATATTTGTTGACATTTTTTATTTTATTTTCTTAACGAAATTATTTATATTAGGAATGTTGCCTACGAAAATGGGAGGGAATCCATTACCGGAGTCGCTGCTTTGCTGATTCATGGCTGCCTGTAGTTGGATGTCCATTTCTTCTTCCGTGGAAGAGGATTGTTGGAATACAGTCACTTCACCATTAGCTGAATAGTTGATGTCATTGTTGACTAGGTGTAGGGCTTGACTAATTGCTAGCCCTGTTGCTGAGAGTATGCCATTAGACATATAAAAATGAAAGTCACTTAGTTGATTTCTGACTCACATCAACTTAAACAAGGTTGACTACACCAAGTTATACGCGGTGAACGGAGCTCCGCTGAGACGAACCTCACAGCTCGGACGCTCGGAGCAAAATGTGGAATTATTTCTTATATACAGATTCGCATGTATATTTAAACACTTTTATGCCTACCTTCCAATTTGTACCTAAAAGTCTTGAGGGGTGGTCGCCATACAGGCGTTTGACTTAAGACATCTTCATTTTGGATATGGACGTAAATAATACACATGCATATACTATGTATTACATATTAAATAATATGCAACTAATATACGATTTATTAACATACACAACACTATTGTACATACTATACATTTACATTATTCCTTATTTGACTTGAGCATAATTTCTGATACAGTTGCCTATTTGGATTTCTACACGTGTTCGACCATAATAATTATTTCTTACCTCTTTTACTTTCTCGCTACTTACGCGGTAGAGAGAAAGTTATGTAATTGCGAAAAAAACCGCTCATTTTCGACAGAAAAACTCTTATTACCGGGCCCTGGTGACGAAGAAGTAGATAAATCCTATTTCTAAGGAAAGAAAAACAGTCCTCTAAAATGTGGTGAAGCGACAATCCATGTTCTGTGGGTCCTTGATACTGAAAAATCGAATGCCGGCAAAACATCCGATCACCCGTTTGTGCATTAGAGCCTATACAATGAAAAGAATTTTTTCCAAATTGAAGAAAACCCTGTCGATCTGGCTTGAGTCGAGGCTCTGCTTTGAAAATCATTCATTATTTTTGGGGGTATTTTACAAGATGCCCTTGGGACTTTTTCAAACTTTTCTCGATAATGCCTCCAATTTTTTCTTTAATTTTCTTTTAAGAATAAAGTAAAATACGTTTATAATGGTGGCATAAGTTCAATTTTTACTTTTAACTCTGAATTTTCGAAAATTGCAAAAGATTTCAATTTTTTCGGGTTCAAACTTTCGGCGACTTACATCTACAAAATTAAAAGTACATATTTTTCCTTCAAATTAAATTAAATTTGTTGTCAATAATTATTTCTTTCTTTAAGGTCTTGTAGATCATTCCAATAATTATTTATTTTTATCAAGGTTAGTAGTTTTTGAACAATATTGCGTGTAATATGTGCTATATTAAAAAATAACAAAAAAAGATTTTCTCGAAAATGGGTACAAATGTTTTTTATGTTTTTGCACCATATGTCTCTATTCTTTTGTTTTTTCAAAAATAAAAAAAAAATTACTTGTCTCTCACGTTGATAATTCTAATAATTAATTAATAGTTCTAATAATATAGGCAATTTTTAACATTATTGCATTTACGATTAACTTTGCTTTAAATATATATGTCAAGAAAACGTTTTTCTATCAACATTGTTTCTTCAAACTGTTCCTATGGAGTGTACTAATTGCACTCTTTAAGATGACAAGAAATTAATTTTGTTTTATGCGTTTTCCTTGGGTAGAGATGGTGACCTCACGTCAAATTAGGCCCCCACTCTCAAAGGTAGGTATATTTTGAGGTGTGCATCGGATCAACATTTTAATTTCGGTATTCGGTAATTTCGGTAAATTAGTCCTTAATTAGTACAAAAATCTGTGTTTTGTGTTTTTTAATTCTGTGATAACTGACAGTGTTATCTTTACGGTCATGAGTTGAAGCCATCCAGGATTTGGCTAAAGTTAGCTTGATGTAGACGCTCATAATATAGACGAGTGTGTCGACTGTTTCACTGATAATGAAACTTGCAATGACGTCGTTTCGGAAGTTTCATAATCAAACACTATAAAAATACTGATCGATAAAAGTTAACCATCGCTTAGAATTAAATGTTCTCTGATTGTTATGCCTTATCAAATTTTGTAAACAGCTGGTAAACGTTATAAAAACGTGCATTTTTCTATCTTTCCACGCTTGTGAATTGCCAGGTAGTGTTTAAAAGAGGTTACCTTGGCAAAAGTAGGATAAACAATGAGTTAATTTTGACGAAACGAATTCATTTACACAGCTAATTTATAAATACTAAGAAAGCCGTGTTTCAGAGAATAGTTGTAGTGATTTTATTAGTTCAGGAGAGAAATATTAAAATAATAATAAAGGCATGTGTATTTGTTCTCATGTTTCAATAGTAACAAATTTTCTATAGCGTAAGGAAAAATCATTAATTGTGAAATATATTAATTGTTGATAATTGTGTAACGGGTTTGCGTTGTAGGCCTGAATACCCAACAAATTTTGGATACACCTCATTTCTCAGTGTTTAAATTTCCTGAAGAGAAAACGCTAAAGGGACAAGCGGTTGAGAAATATACATTGTGTCAGGATTTCCGCGCAAATCTATCAAATGAATATTATGCAAGGCAAACAATGAAGGACTTCAATCAGAAGTATAAGAATATACAAGTTTGTGTTTAATGTTTTGACACAAAATACTCAAATATGGTGCAATCGATCAAGTTGATGTTGCGCAACACGTCTACTTACGTTTCGATGCACGCTACGTACGAGGTTTTGGAAATAATTTGTAAGTGGGGAATCAATCCTCGTTGGTGTCATTACCTGCGCTAGTGATTATTAGTTGCAATACAAGTAGACATTGAAGTGTTTTACTACTAGCGATTAAAGCACCTCTCCACATAAGTCACATAAGTGAATTTTTTATCTTCGTTATTATATTTTTTGGGCCATGAATGTCGTTAAATGTTAAAGCCATTGCTTTTTACGTGCTCGTAAGGCAGTGCAAAGAAAAACATCAGATCGATTCTTACAGTTCAGACCATTAGACTAGATTTTTCCTTTTACCTTACGTAATATGGGCTAATGATGCACTCATTAAATGTTAAAGCCATTGCTTTTTACGTGCTCGTAAGGCATTGGGTCAATGCCTTCCTAATTATTCCAGGACCTTGAATATAATTGAAGTCATTATCGATTTAGTATTCCCGTATTATTTAATGTATAATTTAAGCCTTTTCTTGTTTCTTCTCATGAAACTGGTAGAACGTGTGTTCCAAAGCTCAAATGAGAATATTTATTCAATTTAAATATCTTTTCATTTAATTGAGAAAAAAAGTACAATCTTCATTTTAATATAATTATACATGCACAGTTTTTTGACATAGTACAATTAAGTTGTTGAAATCTTTTTTTATTATGTAATCATGTAAAAGAAAGATATTTTAAGAGTCTAAATTTAGGATACAGAATGACAATAACTCCTACAATTAATTCATAACTCATCTCTTCATTGAAATACATCATTCGGAGACTCAGTTCTTCAATAAAGCAAGAGTTCATGAGTGTCTTTAGCAGAGCACGAGCTATATTCGACTGATTGTAGTGTGAAAAAATAATTTACATATAAAACGAAGAGGAAAGTATAGTAAGGAATGAAGTTGACTGCTAGTGACGACTTTGCGTGCCTACTTTCCTCAGCAAGAGATTCTGGAAAAATGTCGTCACTCCGGCCACTGATTGAGACACGTTTCCTGTACATAACAAGAACCGATCTAACGCAACTAACCGGTTTGAAAATTTGCATGAGGTGAAAATAAAAAGAAATAGCGAAAATGAGTCCATATTTTGCTTATTTAATGCTAATTTTATGAATCTTAAACAGGTTAACGAGGATATCACTTTTTTCTCTTCTAGAAGATGCCACGAAAGAATCTCAGTCTTCTTATTGTCGTTGATTTTGAAAAATATTTTAGAAGTGAAATTTACAAAATTACTTGCTTTAAATCGGCGATAAATCAGCTTTGAAACATGAAGCATTGCTGAAAGACATCAGAAATTTTCATAAGTTTATTTCTGATTCAAACGTTAGAAATTCAACATTCTGCTTAATCATTAGTTTTTCACATAATACCTCCAAAGTAAAATGTATTGAAATGAAAAATGCAGAGCCATATTGCTCAGTAAATATGAAGATACGTAATGTCTTCAACGCAATCATTCCTACTCATTAACTTACCAGTAAATAGAGATAATACTATATAAAGTCAGAAAATGTTGAACTTCTTTGATACGGTGTACTAAAGAACACTCTAAAAAGTGACTCTATAAAATTAATAAAAAATACTTTATAAAAATTACAAACGGTACAGATATCTTCGCTAACAAGTTTTATAGTTCGATCTATTAACGCGTAATTTCTCTCATGTAATTAACATTATAAGACAGTGTGTGAGCGTGAAAGTCTGTCTTCCTTCTTGCTGAACTAATCCCTATTTCATACGTGAAATTTGGGAAAAAAATATATATCTTACAAATTAAACCGTTACTATTGGCTTTCTCTATTTTATTGGCATCACTGTATTTTGTATTGATTTTTTATGATATAGTCCCAATTAAACGTTACGTCGTTGTAAATACTGTTTCCAGATTCTGGCAGCGCTGGGGGTGCTGCAATGTGTAGTAGCTCTGCCCACGACTCCTCCTCTCAAGCAGACTGGAGAAGCTCCTGGAGCGAAGGCAGCCAGCGACGGCATGCGCGGCATGACCGGCGACGTAAGAGCACAACATTACCTTTATTTAAAAATTGACCTCTTCAACGTAACTGTCATACCCAGAGGCTCGAGAGTTCCTTTACCGAAACGTATGATATTCTTGAGCGGTCTGGCAAATTTCCATAGCGATTTAATCCTAAAATATATTTCGAATTCAATATCTTTTTAATCTGTACTTGTTTTTGTTTCGAGACACCACAGTATTTTTACTTCGTTTAAGGTTTAAGGTAGCTGTTTACCTCAAAATGATGAAAATTGTAAAATTTCATTTATTTCAATTTTTACTAATAATTTACTCTGTTTTATTCTCTTTTAAATCCTTCAAAATGTTTCTTGCGATGATTCGTAGTTTTTGAGCAATTTGGTTTCTCGAAGCGAGTGTCAACTGAGTTAGTGAATGAATTTCAGATGCATTTTTCCGAATTCGAAATTTTCAGCTCATTCATGCATAAAAAATCATAAATCATAAACTATAAACGATAGTCATATAATTATTTTTGTAGCATGTAAACTAAGACTAAGAAGAACTAGAATAGTTAATGTGCCATTTAAAGGGTCAGTTATATAAACTGAAATGTCCAGAATAAATTTATAAACAATTATTTTTCTCAATTTTCACAGTACCTTTAGCATTCTAGTTTATTAACTAGAATATACAATTGTCATTAATTTAAAAACCAATTATCAAAATATATCGATTTGTTGTAGAGTTATGATGTCGGAAGTAGAAATCTGCATTTCGGTAAATTATTGATAAAGAAAAAGAGAAAGAATTAAAAAGTTTAATCTAAAGCATCAATAAATCAAACGTATAGGGAAAAACAAAATAAACACAAAATTCTTGATTATTTTTCAGGTAGTCGTCTAAACGCTCCCTCAAATTATTGTTATTATTATTGTAATTTTTATTATTATTGTAATTTTATTATTATTGTAATTATTATTATTTGTAATCATATTTAAGGAATATTTTTGTTCTAAATAAAAAGCCTTCGTCAAACAGTTGAATTACTTCCACAGTAGTGCTATACTTGAATTCCGAAAATGAGACACTGTTTGTTGTGGTAGCAGGTAACTTCTTGAAGGTTTTTAGATTTTCTTTAAAATTAAGTACTTAACAAAGCAAGTTGCGCTTAGTACAGTGTGTCATTCATACGAAGTATTTATAAACGAAATTGGTTTCACACACACACACACACATACATATATATATATATATATATATATATATAT